AACTTTAAACAACGTGCTGTTTTACTCGAACTCACAAAGATGAGGGCTGACTCCATGAATTTAACTTGGTGTACGATTCGCTATGGAGAGATTAGTTGGTTCATATTTTCTCCCTCAGAGGTTGGCCCTGTTACTGTGACAAGCGACCCCCATCAAGTGATCAATGCGGCAAAAAGCTTAACTGCAAACGGAGGCGGAGATTGTCCGGAGCTGGGAATGACTGGTCTTTATCAGGCTCTTCTCCACTGCCTACCTGAGAGTGTGATCTACTACTTTTCGGATGCAGACGCAAAAGACTCCCAGCGTGAAAATGAGGTCATGTCCCTAGCAAAGGCCAAAAAAGTTAAAATCTCTTTCATTCTGACTGGTCAGTGTGGCCGACGCAGACGGGATTTGTCAGAGAGTCGTACCCAGGACGTAGCAGTCGTCCCCAAAGAGGTTCATCGAGTAAGGAGAAATGCTCAAGGTCAAGCACTTTACCAGGCTCTCGCTACTGAGACAGGGGGACAAGTCCTAGAAACTAGTAAGGCTCAAGTGGCTGATGTTGTCAAAATGATCGATCCTGCTGGTTCATCAAACTCATCCGTGGCTCTGCAAGACGTTGAATTGCTAAACATTAAGGAAACTTCAGCACATTACTTTAGCAGAGTTGTTTATATTGTTGACATCGACAGCACACTAAAGAGTTTAGTTCTCATACTAACAGCTGCTGGATCACCAGATTTACAAGTAACTAGTGTTGAAGGTAATGGAGCAGAAAAGAATGGTTTTAACATGAAAAAAGTGTGACCAATGTCATCATTATTATTATCATCACCATCCTTATTCACGGCTATAATTACTATTATCTTTACTATAGTAATGATGATGAAAATGATGGTGATGGTAGTGCAGGGGTATAGTGAGCGTGCACGAAAAAGCCACTTAACTAGCCCTATATAATATTCAGTAATAATCTTTGTTTTTCTTGAAGGAAATTCAGGTATACAGGAAAATGTCATCAGCTCCTCTAGTAAGCTTCTAATAAAAGAGATCGCCAATTTAAACAGCGGCTCACTGAAGCTTACCGTCAGCTGTCAGGGTCCCTATACATTGCAAGCTACTGGTTCCAGTCCAATCGACTTTACATACCAGCTTTTGGACGTAGAGGACGAGGAACGAGGAAACACAAGGCGAGTGCTTGGAAATCCTCTGAGAGGTAAGACAGTCACAGAAACCTATTACAAGAATGCAAATCACACGCTTGCGCATCGATAACCTTCCAGATTTGTATAACTGAATTGATAAATTCTCTTTCAAATAGCCTCCAGGAAGGCCCTTGCTCAGGATAAGTTAATGCGAAGTATTTGTCGAAATCTCAATTGAAATCATAACTCGCTGTCTGACAATCAAGCTTTCACGGCCAAGGGCAAATTTGAACTTATTTTTGGTAGGGAAAAAAAGCCAAGTCCTTTTGTTCACTCCATTACAGGTCAAGCTTTGCTTCTTACATTGGACTTCGTTGGTCAAGAAATTGACGAAGTGACGAACTTAACTCTTGTTGGTGTTGACGGAACAAGCTTGGAAACCTTCAACATAACACAAGGGGAAGGGTTCTACCAGGATTTCTATTACGTCAAATTCATTCCGTCGCCAGACAGGTTTAGAATTAAAGTGACAGGTTTTGACACAACAGGAGCCAAATTTCAGCGGGTGAAACCAACCTTATTTACTCTTGGTGACGTCAAACTGTCCCAAAACGTCAGTAGTAACAGTTCAAACGCCATTTTCCCAGGAGAATCTTTAGAGTTGGAAATCAGCGTTGTAAACACTGGAGATTTTCAGCTGTTATATTTCAATGCTTCAGATGATCTGAACTTTTTCAGAAGTATTAGCCCACCCCAACGAAGCTTAGGAAAGAATGATTCGCTTCTCCTTCGAGTTTTTCTAGCAGCTCCGAGTGACGCAAAGTATGGTGTCACCTGCACTGTCACGGTATTCGTATCTCAGGATTCGGGATTCACTCAACTCGTGAATTTCATAGTTTTATTTGCTACTGTTGCTTCAAAGGTAAGCGAAATTAAACAAAAGGTTGCAAAGTTAAAAGGTTAAAGGCATTTTACGAGAAGAAACATAATCAGAAAACTCTTTCAATGGAAGATGCACGTTTAATAGATTTCTTATCTATGGAAGCTATTATTATTTATCACTACCATTATCACCTGGTCCTAAGTCATCATAACCATCACCATTATTACAACTGCTATCATCATCGTTATCATCATCATTAATACACTAAGCTCCTCGTTGAGTGAGTCATTTTCTTCCATTGATTCGTCGTTATGTAAGCGAAATGGTGACAAATGTCAATGTGAGGAAATATCAAAGAAAAACACAAATAACTTTCATTCATGTGTCACCGTTATTTGACATCAACAGGCCCCAGATCTCTCCCCACCATTATGTAATGTAACGAGCCAGAGTGGGTCATGCGCAGGGGTATACGGAAGACCTGAGTGTGTGTCCAGCACGTGGGTTGCGCATGTCACGTTCAATGACTCCGGAGAAGGGCTTTTGTCGATTACGTCACGAGAAAATCGTAATGGAACTCTCAAAGGTAAATGGAGTCATTCCTCTGGTTTTTTTTTTTGAAATGCCAAGACTTCCGATCTAATCTCTCAAAACAGATAGTGATCAACTGGTAAAAATCGCCTAAAATAACATTTCTTTTATGACTTTCCATGCGCAGATAAAAAATTTCTTTTCCGGGATTGATATTTGCGCAATGCAAATCAATAATTTTTATTACTATTGTTCCTTTATTTTCGTTCAGTGGCTGCTTTCAACCAAGGAGCTGCCAATACGCCGATTTCAGCATCATTCACATCCAGCTGTTGCCATCCAAAGGTCATCTTCGTCGGAGTGGATCTCGTTGGAAACATGGGAACTTGCTCTGTAAGCCTCGTTCCAGACATCGTGTCATTTAGAGTCAATCCAAACACCTCCGATGTGACTCTGTACCCAGGAGAAACCATAAAGGTACCTTTCACACTCGTCAACCTTGGCTCCAAAGGGTCCTTTTTGTTTCGAGTGACTAAGACGTCCTCGCTCATAAGTTACGTCATCCCCTTCAGCCTCGCTCTGAAAACAAACGCAAGTACTACAGGTCATGTGGTTATTGCTTCACGTTTTAACACCAGTGAGGTGAAGACAATAAGCGTGAGGGCTATTGCACAGTCAGATGCTGTAAATGTTAAAGAGGTGAACCTGTTTAATGTTACGGTTTTTGTCACGCCACGGAGACAACGAATAACAAGTACACCTGGAACATCAACGGCAGCGCTCAAATACATCCGGTTACAGGCAAATGTTCCCACTCATGACTTGTCTTTGGAAACTGGAGAAAGTTCAAAGTTCAACTTTACAGTTATGAATTTGGCTACGGCTGAAACTTTCACCTTCCATGTAAGTATATAGTAATTGGTAATAAATGACAATCAATCAAAGCCAATTTTAAAATCATGTTTGACAATCGCCGGGAAACATGAAATATAATCTGGACAAAAGACTTCCTTTCATTCCATAGAGGCACTGCTTATCCGTTACCTTTTTATTAGCAACATCCCTACTTGGTGAACATATCACTCAAAGCTTGTTCAAAGTTTTGGAGTGATGAATCCCACCACGATTGCTCCTGTTTAATCAGTTTGTTGCTTTCTATTCCCAGGTGCTGACATCACAACCTCGTATAAATGGTAATATTGAACCGTCTCCAACATTTATGGATCATCAACAAACTACTTCATTTCTATTAATCCTTTCATCTGAGCCCAACACCCCTCTTGGCATCGTCACGCAAGTCAATATCACAGCCACGCCTGCATCACAAAATGCCGATGTTAGAAAGTTAGTCGTTTTCTCGTTGACTGTGACAATCGATCGAAAGACCTCATCAAAAGATAAAGAATCGGGAGAGAAGAGCCGAGAGAAAGATGATGAAATGAAAAAATGGCAAATTCTTTTAATTTTCGGCACGGCTACGTTAGCGGTTCTACTCATTACCTTTTTGGTAATACTGGGAGTAAGTCGCAGGTATTGTCGTAGAAGAAGGCCTGAAACCCACACAGTCAATAATGCGAATACCAACTTAGGCCATGAACCTGACGATGTGATCGCCAGTACGTACACCTAACTCTAAGAAATCATCCAATACATGGCTCGATCTTGTAATCGCTGAGCATACTCATGGAAAGTTGACTGTGCATCACAGTCAATTAGTATGGAAGGACACTTTCCGTCTGATTGACACGGAGTTGAGATCGCATCCATTGCGAGCATTATCGCATATTTTATTCTGTTCATCTTTTATTTTTTCATCAAAGTATGAAATACACTTAACTTTGATTTACCCACGTTCTCAGAGCCACAACTTAACTTTCGCTGTTCGTTTTCCTTATGGTTTAATTTTGTTTATTTCTTTACTTTTTTGTTTTGTTTTGTTTTGTTTTTTTCTTTTTCGCGTTTGGTTTCGCTTATGATTTGTGTTTGTTTAATGTTTGTCTTCCACCGATTAGTTAATGAGATGGTTTTTGTTTTATTGTTTCCAATAACTTTTCAGTTTTTCATTTAGTGTTAGTCAGTCGTGTGTGACTCTCTGCTTTAGAATGACAAGCAAAGTGGACATTGAAGATCAGTAAGTTATATGCTTCTGTTCAAATGCTTGTAACAGTAGCGCATTATTCTAATAAACTATTTAATGAATGCATTTAATGAAAGTCGCTGACTTTATTTCTAATTATATTAATCTGCGTGAGTGCACTAGTACTTTTCTAAGCTTTTTCAAGTTTAGCTTGGCATCTTCGTTGTCAATTGCGACTGTAAAATAATTATTTCATAACAAAACTGATAATCTTTTCTTTTACCATTTCGGTCAGTTAAAAATATACAACTATAGTTCAGTACTCTTCAGCTTTGCTTCGCTAAGTAGTCTGTTCTCGAAATCGTAAAAAAATATAATAATATTACACGGTGCATTCTATACATCGACTTTCCCTCCTTTCTTGGGATCCGGAAGATTTCGTATGTAGAACACCATCGACCTCAACTTCTTGAGGGAGACTGTGCTCTAACATTCGCGGCCTTTCCAAAACGATTCCAATGGCGCCGATGGGTGAGGTGATGAGGATAACCAGAACAGCAATGGTCAAAATCTATCATCACAAATATAAAAACAATGGAAGTATCTTTTAGCTTGAAGATTAATAGGTTCCTTCTAACATCCAATCCATAAACATAATCATAAAAGAATTCGTGAACTCTGAGAAAGCAACCCACCTGTATTCCAAACTCCTCTTCAATTTGCCCTGAGAAGCCCTTCTGTCGAGCTAAGTCCAGCGAAACAGAACCAATAGCAGCCTAAATTTCGCACACGGTTCAACAAATAATTAGAACATTCAATAGATTCGTTCCGTCCTTTAACCTTCCCCTTCCCCTCCCCTCTCTCTCCCACACCCCTCCCTCCTTATCTTCCCACCTCCATCTCTCCTTCCCTTGCTACCTCTGCCTTCAGCACGCCTCCTTTCTAAAGGAACTCCCGTACTCGGCCAGATTTAATATCTGTTGATATCCTGTTTATTTTTTACATACCTGAACCGTAGCTTTTGGTGACCATGCTATGGCAATAAACAGTCTCTCCTTCAAACTGAGGTCATTACCAAGCAAGCCAAGAGAAGTGGCGCAGAGCCATATAACCAGACTAACAACCAAACTTGCAATACCCGTTCCTACCAGGTAAAAAAAAAAATTAGGGTTAGGCCAATTGAGATGTTCAGCTGACTGTATTCAGTAACTAATAAGACTATGAGCCAATACTGACACTTTTTATTAACTGAACCCATCGGCAATTTGATTCATTCAGGACTGTATACCTCCTGTTTAATTATGACATAATGATAATAATTTCGATAATGTTTGACTCTGGAATACAGAAAAGTCTATCGCCATGCAACAAGTAAAAATCACCAACTCTCTAGAATAATACCACCACCAAGTGATACCTAATAATTTGATAATAAAAATAACCAACAACAATAACTTTATTTGTTACTTCCTCGAGGGGTCTTTCCAAAGCCAATGTAAAGAAATATTAAAAAAAAAAAGAAATAGAGAAAAATTCTGTTATAGCCCTTGCAGGCACAACGTGAACCAGTTGGGTTTTGACAAAGATAAGCAGTTGACCCTGGGGGGGACTGGGAAAAAATCCAGATTGAAGGTGAGCAACCACCATACTAAAGTTCCAACACCCTGCCTGTAGATTATTCCATTGTAATAACTCACCAACAACCTTACTGTACATGTACTCTACACTGACTTCAGCCCCCACAAGGCCAAACAGTGGTGGTTCAAACACTTGCCACACTAGAGACATCACCAGGGCTACAGGGACCTACAGACGAAAATAGAACTTAAAATAAGGATCAATTATCCCATCTCCAAAGAATTATTTCATGACTCCTTCAAAATGAATCTTCAAAAGAGGAAAAACTAAGCGAGTCCTTCTCATTGAAAAAATCAATGCCATCATTAATGGTAGTAGGACCAAGTGGAGTCCAATTGGGTCTGTAATAAATAATACGAGTGATTAGCAATGTCCTATTAGTGCTCAAACTAAGCTGGCAATAACCAATCACATTCAAGAATTTTGTTAGTAATAGTTCTCATTCATATAATAATAAAGTAAGTCAAGTTAACCCAACCCTTTACACATTGATTTTTTTGTGAAGGGAATTTCATTTAATCAACAGATAAATGTTAAGTAAATCAATGATCCTCACAGGCGAGCTGAAATTTGAGCAGAAGAAGCCTTCAATGGTACTCAGACTTTGACAGGATTTGCACCCCTGCCTCCCAGATAGTAGTTGGTGCTACCACCAACTGAGCTATGAAGCCACACATTGCATGGAAGCCAGGCACATTTTAGAGGGTGTGTTGAGGTTGACAATGAGGTTCCCCATGATTTTGGAATTTACATTCAACTGACCCGTAGCTACTAAGTTTAAGATAGATATATGTATTTCAGTCCTAAGAAGACAGGATAGACTGGCTGGTACACTTGATACCTTACAAAGTCCACATTTCATTTTTCAAACCATTTACCTTCCCATCAATTCTAGGCAGTGTTAGTTGACAAACAGTAATGTACCTTCCCCTGCTGTGTCCAGCCATAAGCAGCAACAGTTGACATGGTTAGGACCCCAAGAGCCCCAGCACCAGAGAACTTTGCCACATTACTTCCAAATACTGATAACAGTGAAAGTGACAGCAGGATCACTACTCTGTTTTGAGCCAAGTTAGTCTAAGGAAACAAATGCAGAGATGGTAAAGGAAATTGGTTGCAATTTAAAACAGCTGGGCATTTATCAAAAAGCAGTGTGGTGTATTTCGTGATGGCAGACCTTGAAAGTCAGTAACAATTGCAACAAACTTAGTAATACATACTTAAACAAACTAGGCCAAGTCATCAGAAAATGTTAAAATTGTGAAAAAAGGAAAAAAATTGGATAAAAAGGCTGTCAACACATCTGCCTTAAATACTATTTTTTCATCCAACCAGAGCTTAACCACAGAACAAACACAGAAAGAAATAACAACACTGGAACACTGGTAGTTTACAATAATTAAAAAAAAAACAGCATCCATTTGTAAAAAGATCTGACCAAATGGACTTTCCATGCCATTTGAATTTTCTATTTAAGCTCTTCATAACTGTTTACCTTATCTTAAGCTCTTCATAACTGTTTACCTTATCCTCATTAGGAAAATACCAGCAAATTAAACCAGCAAGGCATCCAAGAATTATTTCCAGAGCCAACTCTATCGGTCCTCGGAATATACTGAATATGAGGTTACCTTAAACATAATGAAATACAAGCTGAGTAAACCGTGAGAGTGAAGTCAACCAACATGTCTTGAAGTAAAAAAGATCCTCGCAGGAGAGATAAATTGAATAAATTAAAAACATAGGCTTTGAGGGGCCCAGTCCAACCCATCCCTCCCAGGTACTAGTTAGGCAGTTAGGTCTCCTACAGCTACGAAATGACCAGTAGGGAGTGAGGTAAATTTTACAAGGTTATTTATTACCATAAAGGACTCTGAATTTCAATTAATTAAAACCTGAAAACCCACAACTGATCTGACTAAGCAGATCATTGTTTTTATCTGAGCCAAATGCTATTCCTAAGCAGATCCCAAATGCACTTATGCAAAGGACATTGTCAAAGGAAGCAGCAGCCATGACAAGGGTTGGTATTCCTTTCTTGACTCCATAATGCTGCTCTTGTAGCTCTAACAAACAAGGTATTACAACAGCAAGAGAAACAGCTGCTTGAACAAATCTAAAAAAATTGCAAGTAAATAAAGTAAATAAAAAAAATCATTTCCATGTTGATCATGGAAATATCAACATTTAACCAGCTTTAGAGGTCAACGTAATGCAGGAGCCTCTTATGAGAAGGTATCTCTTTTTTAACCTGGAAGAAAAGTGTTTTACAGTACTGTTCAATCAGAGTGTGCAAGAAAGATAACCGTGGCAACCTTTCTTTCTTTTTTTATTTTTTGTTTTTTGTTTTTTCCTTTTTCAAATGGAATCCATTGGTGCTTCAAGAAAGAAAATCAAGATGCTATCCTTGCCCAATGATTCTTGCTCTGAGCCCTTGGAGAGTGAGGATGCAAAGGATGTGTTTCAGGGACAAGGATACGGGCTTACTGATCTAGAGAGATTCTCCTTGATGCTCTCTGAAGGACATGTTTGTAAAGAAGGTGTGAATTTACTTGGTTCTGTGTAACCAACTTAAAGAGCTCTTTTAGAGGTTTTCATTTCAATTCCCAAAAACACTTATTTTGTACCTCAGGATGTATTAGTTCAATTAATCTGTAATTTTCAGGGCTGTATCCTCTCATTGAGTTGAGTTGGATAAGCAGACAATTTCTCCATAAGTTGAATTTTAAGAAAGTTATTGTGAACTCACCTAATAATTTTGGTGAACTTTGGACAGGTACTGTGCCCATAATATAGATGACTCCCAAAATTCCCCACCTCATCCAAGAGAATGACCCTAGTACTTTGTTTTGACACTAAAAGTACTTGATTTCATGCAATCTTAGTACAGTTATCTTTTCTCAAGTATACCTAAGTTTTTCACACCATGAGGTTGACAGATTGATTTGGTGTCAAATAACAAATTAGTTTAGGGCAACATATTAGTTATATTCATTGTCTGTGGTTCCTAAGCTTTCCTTTGGTTTATAAGTTAATATGGTTCAGAAATATAGTTATTGAGGTAATCTTGTTTGAAAAAAGTGTCTTTTTTCATGTTAACCCCCCCCTTAAGACTAGTCTGACTGATCGTAATCTAGCCCTAGACAAGTTAAACACATATATTTTGGTCCTCTTATCTTTGAGCTGCACTGTAGCTGCACTGTAGCTGTAGTAGTAGTTTGATATGTGACTGCAATTGTTAAAACTAAGGGCAGTAATATTATGAACTTCTTTTCCTTTAGCTAGTAAATGTTCTTGTTTGTGAAAAGGACGCGGTGCGTCATCAAATAATATCTTCTGTTGACGATCTTTGTCTCTACCGCGATGATTTTCAGTCTTAAATTCAAATATTCCTTTTAAAGCTATTCCCTAACTGATGTCAAACATTTCCCATGATTAAAGCTGTTTTCTTTAGGAAAGACATCCCTAAAACCCCGATTACGCAACATGCACAGACACCAGTTTGGACCGTCTTAGACTCAACACACAATGTTTGTTGAACATCTAAAGCATATCATACCGTCTTGAGCCACACAGAACAAAAATGAAGCGAGACATCTTGAGAAGGGAAACAGTGTACCAGTCTCGAGAACAACTATATCTGCTTCATTCAATGGCTTTGCTTCGAAAGCATGTTTCTTTGTATCGAATTGCATTTCAACTACTAATAAAAAAAAAATGCTTTTATAGCGACAAACTATCAGACACAATAGATTGATAAGATCGTGGTCTCCTCTAAATATGCAGTATATGTTATATCATTTACTTCTGATATAGTTTGTTGAGATCTGAATAGAAAAATTGTAATGCCTTGGCACTGCCTATAAATAAGAAATGATTTCTCCCGTGGAATCCAGCAGGAGCTCTTCGCTCTCTCAGTAGGTTTTGCCCAAATCTAATTTGACCTCTACGGTCAAATTCGCTTCAGAGCATATAGTTTTACCACGTGGTTTGTAAACATGACAAAGAAGATACCAACTACTAAAAATTAAATATTACAATGGTTTTACTTTGATCATGAATAACAATTACAGTAGAACCTCGTTAATATGACCAACAACGGGCCAAAATAAAGTGGTCGTATTAACGGGGTGGTCGTATTGCCAGGGTAGGGTCATTTTTTATAGCCGGCGTGTTGATGATGACTTGTATTCCAAGCGTATCAAAGTTTCACCTTCAAACAACTGTTCTTAAGAATTTACATTGCATTTAAATAATAAAATATACTTAATTAAAACAGAACCATTTAGACATGAGCGACTGAAACCAAACAAACGGGAACGAACTGCCGCACGTATTTACAAAACCAAGATGACGTGCATGGAGCGGGATTCAGTTTCATTTATGAAGATGATTTGGTAAAAAATCTGTAACTCTTGACTGGCTTGTCCTATGCTCAAGCCAGTCGCTTTGCATCTGACTAATCACTTTTGCGAGTCCATTTGATGTTTTAGAGTTTCCCTCAGACTCAAAAAACACAGAATATCCTCCAAACTAGCTAGCGCCTGTCCATAAGATCCCAGTTTCGGCAGTACAACAGGCCCTTGAATGCCGTTATCATCATAATCGCTGACATCCTTTTCTGTTGCCGCTTATCCGTATTAGTGGTCGTATTGACGAGGTTAAAAACAAAATAAATATGCACGTTGGGAATTAAAAAAGTGGTCGTTGGTCGCATTAATGGGGTGTTTTTTATAAGAAAATGTATGCACATTTTGCCGGGCCGTAAAATAGTAGTTGTAATAATAAGGTGGTCATATTAACGAGGAGGTCGTAAAGCAGAGGTTCACTATAAATGCAATTGGTAGGATACAATAAAATCATCGCGAGACGCGCATAATAAATCTGTCCTGAACGCTTAGTTCAAAGGCTGCACTGGTAAAAATGTCTAATAAGAAGTGCTCCAGCCTTTACCTCTCTCTTTAATAGTAAATAACCAATCAGAAACTCCTGTACACCGTCATTTTGCATGAGCAAATAGTTTTAGAACCACGGGTGTTGTCCTCAGTTTCAATGGTCGTGTGTCAAGGTGAATGTGTACGCGGGCCGTTAGAAACGTCTAAACTGGAAGTTTTTTAAGCAAACTGCGGCTTAGCGACGGTTTAACTGGGAGATTGAATTTGTAGTGAGTTGAAATGAAACTACAGTATATGTGCTTGGATGCTGCTTTGGATTTGTGGCCACCGGTCATTTTGAGCTTGGAGTTTTCGCTTCTCGGATCGGGCGTTCAGACTGGAGTGTGCAGTTATTTCTTATGTAACTAAAAAACTTCGAAATGGATAACTCGCTAAAATGGGTTCCCTTCAACCTAGTAAGCGGTCAGATAGCAAGCAAGGCCTGTAGAAGTAAGGTGAGGTATTTTTATTGAATTTGACTTATTTTGTTTATTTTTAGAGCGGTCGTAAATATTCCCATACAAACTCTTATAATTTTACCATAAATAATTTCGCAAGATGATCATCTGACAGCTGGAGCTTAGGCCGCCTGTGGCTAGTATAGCATTATAAACAACACTACACTTATCACCTTACACTCAGATAAAAGTTATCTGCTCATCCATAAATCTGTCACGATATCATAGCCAGTTCATCTCTGCCTTTGCAGTTTTCAAGATATCTTACAGTCAGCGAATCCGTCTCATCTTTTAAGTGGCAGATGAATTTGATAAGTTGGAACACTTCTCTATTTCACCCGGTGCACAACTTGCTGGCTCTACTAAATTGCATATAAACAGAATGATATTAATACTAATAACTTCTTTATATAGACATACTAAGTGCTTAAAGGACTTGGAGCCTAGTTCGCACAATCTGACTACCCACTGCCCCCCCCCCCCCCCCAACCGTTTTAGCAAACATTTTAAAAAAGTTGGAGGAAGTGCTTAAAAGTTAAAATGAGGCAGATCTCTTATCAACTGGTCTGACTTCGGCATGTTGACAAATGAACTCCTCTACGTTCCAGCTCTTACAGTACATAGCTTACGAACAGTTACCTGTCTCATTTCTGACAACCTTAACGTAATAAACACAAAAATCTTTATACCCCTGTTTCGATCAATGCTGACATAGGTAGCATGACTGTATTAAAAGGAATGTTTTGAGTTGCAAACAGTAATAATATGGCATTGCGTGTGCTAATTGCAATGGATTGCACTTACTGAAATGCAGTGTAAGTTTGGCAATTTTGGAAAACCAAATCTCAAATACGTTTATTTATCTACCTTGGCTGTTTCAATAACTTGATTCCTGCAACTTCGATACTATTTTTTTTTAACTAGGGAAAACTATTGCACAATTTAAAGCCTGTTTTGGAAACCTACTCGAAAATGTAATCCTGAACAAAAACAGTAGGAATTTTTACAGCTTGTATTTTTCAAAGTGAATATTGAGTGTTCAAAAAGACCTTCAACAGAAATATCAAGAAAAAAGGAAGCATTCTAATGCAATATGATTTCTAGCATCTAAAGCATTTTGTTGCGGTAATCCAATGTAACAAGTAGATGTCATGATTATAGCATCTTTTGCCACGCTCATAAAATTGTTTCATGACACTTTTCTACTGTTCCTATAAAAAGAGTGAGTGTGCCTATCTAAGCAAGCACGAAGCAAGTTCTAAAGAACAATACTATATCAAAAGCTGTAAAACCTTACTGTACAGTCACAAGGCGACTATCTGTAAAAACCTGAAAAACGCTTATCCTTTGTGCCGTTACTTTCCCTTCAGTTGTTTTCGTCTGAATAGTGAGGACAAATAATATCTCCCTTCAGGTCATCAAAGTGGATGTGACCCCAACAACAATCCCTCTCATCAAATTACGTCCCAGCTCTTACGGTACATTGTCTCGCTACAACTGCCTGTTTCTGTTCTGACAACCTATATGTAACAGCAAACATATCAAACAGTTTTAAACCTTTGTTTTGATGAATGCCGACATATTTATAATGATTATTTCAAATAAGGAGCAGACGCTTTTTTATTGAAACAATATATTATGGCATTAAATGTGCTGATTGCTCTGCACCTAAGAAAAAAAAACATTTGTTTCAACTAAAGACAACCAAAGACAACTAAAATGTGCCAGGCGCGAGGTTGGTTCCCTCTTGGAACCTCTCTCGAGGAAACTCAAAATGAGCCATCGAAAAGGCAAAAATATATTTAAAAAGTAAAAACCAAACGTTTTCGGCACTAGCTATAGATCGTTTTTAGGTTCACTATCATTTACTCTGATGATGACCAAGAGTCGAAAACATTTGGCTTTTTTTTTAAATATGTTTTTTCCTTGTAAATAGCTTATTGTAAAAATAAACGAATCTCATGGATATCACGAACCTTAAAATAGTTTCGCAATTTTGAAAGACCAAATATCTGATACGTTTATAAATCTACCCAGGTTGTTTCAAAAGAATCAAAGGAAACATAATGGTCAAAGTGATAATCTCACCTGGTTTTTGACAATAAGTTCCGCACGAATATCACTTATGGTACATCCTCCACCGATGAGAAACGAGATATCTCTGCCAACTATACGGAAACAAGGAGAGATGAGAGTTCCTTGGGTTGGGTCGGCATCAGCTGGGTGCTGCCATCCTTTCTTTCAAACAGCATTACCTCGTTTATAAGCGCAAAATTTACGCAAATCCCAAACGATTTGATGGCGACGGGAAAACCAGGGTAATGACGTCCTGGACTTGTTGGGGAGAACGGCAACGCCAACACCGGATGTCTAAATAGAGTCGTGTCCAGACTATCCGCGCGCTTTCCCGTTCTGAAATGACGTTCCCGTCCTCTTGCTAAATCACTCTAATATGCACGCAGCCTACGTCATCGGTACGAGCGCGCGCAATTCACGAGGCATTCTTTTAAAAGAAATAAAAAAAAACTCCTCAAGCATTGCTGAGTTATATAAGCACTCGAGAAGTGCGAGAGGCTCTCGCCTTCGGCTCGTGCTCCTCCGCACTTTTCTCGTGTTGTTAAAAATTCCCGCTTGCTTATATAACTCAAAAATGCACTCGGTGCGCTTTTTATTTCTTTAATAATTCACTTCAAAAAAGCATTTAAAAAAATCAAGCAGACGAAATTTGGATAGTGCGCGCTCTGTTTGTAATTTGCACACGTTTTACAACGTTGCTCCGGTTTACATAAAAAAAAAAAAATTGGACTCCTCTTTAGCCAATCAGAAGCGCGTAACTTTTTCACGTATATTATAACTCACTTGACAGAACGACTTGATCTAATATATAGTGTACTGGCGGGTCTTTCTTCTTTTAAGACGACATAAAAAAACGGACGCTAAAAAATGTCTTTACATGGTCCAGGTCACGAAGACATCATTTGGGTTATCCATCGTTTTATTGTATTTTTTCCAATTCCGAAGCAAAGCTATCAATGGAGTGAGGTTTGGAAAGATTTCATTGTAAAGGGATGAAATTATGAAACAGAAGAATACAAGTCCTAAGTTTCGATGTTTTGGAGTGTATTTTTATTAGGAATAAAGTTTCTGTATTCTAATTGCCTCACTCATAGCACACTCTGTGCATGCACGTTTCAAGTAAATATTCCTCACTAAGATTTAAAATGAAAATTACAATGTTGTATTTCCATGGTTAAAATCGATTGACCAAACTGTGATGTACACATTCTAAAATGATACTTGCGCTAAAAAGATAAAATTAAATATCTTTTCATTTGTGAAAATTTGGAAGGCTAATATGTAATGAAGTACTGATAGCTTTTCAGGGGATAAGTGATCAGTTCTTACAATATGGTACGGTATAACTTACAGAATATTAAGAACTACAAGACCCAAATATGAACGCTGCCAAGGAGGCAAACAAGAAAATGTAATAAAGTTCTCTCGATTATGTAAACTTTTGGAGACGTTTTAATCGAATTAACTTCATTCCCCAAATGACAGTTTGTTTCCAACTCTGTAGACCAAACAATTTTTTTTCTCTTTATTTCAGAATTGTGCTTCTCTGTAACACTTGTGTCAGGTTTTTTTGACTCCCGCCAGTATGAGCTAAAATCACGTTTCGTAAGATATTACTAACAGGAAGTAGGCTCTCGTCCCATCGAAACATTTAAAATTCTAGTATTTACAATTTAGCAACTTTGATCCAAGAGTTTTGCTTACAAGGAAGAGACTCACAGCTGTACAAGAATTCATTGGTTGAACTGAGTGCAACAGAAAGGAAGGTAAAAGTAACAAAATGCAAAAAATCAAAATGGTCCGATACAAGATCTTGCGAGGTTTCCAAGACTAAGAACAAATGAAGAACCTCGTTTTATTAATGCAAAATGCTACCCAATACATGCTACATTAACATAACTAGTGTGACTTGGACGTGTCGACCAATGAACTCTTCTACGTTCCAGCTCTAACGGTACATAGTCTCCGAACAGTTACCTGTCTCATTTCTGACAACCTTAACGTAATGACAAGCACAAAAAATTTTATACCCTTGTTTCCATCGACACTGACGTAGGTAGCATAAATGTATTGAAAGGAATTTTGTGTGTCGCAATCAGTTCTTATATGGTGCGTGTGCTGATTGCAATGGATTGCACTTAAAAAATGTAGTATAAGTTTGGCAATTTTGAAAAACCGCCTTTGGAAGCTTACTCGAATGACTTCAATCTATAATCCTGAACAAAATCTACCGGGAGTTTTTACAGCTATGGACTTTTCAAAGAGAATATATTGAGTATTCATAGCTTCAACAGATATTTCAACAACAAAAAAAAAGCATTCTAAGATATGATTGCTAGCATCTACAGCAAAAGACTTTCATTTTTTAAAAATGTCGCGGTAATACAATATAATAAGTGGATGATATGTGTAACATCGTTTGCCACGCGCATAAAATTGTTTTATAATACTTTTCTACTGTTGCTATAAACAGAGTGAGTGTGCCTATCGATGCTAACACAAAGCAGGTGCTCCTCAAAAGAAGCATGCAACATCAAAAGCTGTTAAACCTTACTGTATAGTCACAAGGTGACTATCTGCAAAAACCTGAAAAACGCTTATCCTTTGTGCCCTTACTTTCCCTTCAGTTGTTTTCCCCTAAATGGTGAGGACAAATGATATCTCCTTTAAGGTCATCAAAATTAATGTGACCCCAACCACCAGATCTCTCATCAACTAGTCTGACTTGGGCGTATTGACCGATGAATTCTTTTACATCCCAGCTCTTACGGTACATTGTCTCGTAACAGTTTCCTGTCTCATTTCTGACAACCTGCATGTAACCACAAACATAGCAAACAGTTTTAAACCTTTGTTTCGATGAATGCTGATATAACTGTCATGACCGTATCATACATTTATTCAAATTAAGAGCAACCTATTATTAGAATCAAGACATCAATGAAATCAAGACATTACCGTATTGAATGTGCTGATTGCAATGTTCAATGTGCGCCAGACGCGAGCTCGGTTCCCTCGTGGAACCTCTCTTGAGGAAACTCAGAATGAGCTATTTTCAGGGAAACCATCATTTATCCTGATGATGATCTAATGTCGAAAACGTTTGGCTTTTCATTTTTTAACATATATTTTTTCCTTGTAAATAGTTTCTTGCAAACCTAAACAAATCTCATGGATATCGCGAAGCTCAAAATGGTTTCGCAATTTTGAAAGGCCAAATCTCTGATTATTTAAAAAATCTACCCAGGCTGTTTCAAAAGAATCAAATGAAACATGATGGTCAAAGTAAGTAATCTCACCTGGTTGTCGACAATAAGCTCCGCACGAATATCACTTATGGTACATCCTCCACCGATGAGAAACGAGATATCTCTGCCAACGATACGGAAACAAGGAGAAATGAGAGTTCCCTGGGGAAGATCGCCACCAGCTGGGTTCTGCCATCCTGCGGGATCGCTCTCACTGGGTCGATACTCCATCCCCCCTATCCACCAGTCCCCTTGCTGCTGGGCGCTTTCTCTGCGGCGTGCTGCTGGATTGTCACCAAATGTCGGTTGGTGAATGAAAGCTGTGCCTGTCATTTCCCATCCACCAATTCCATCTTCAAAGTCAAAGCTGCAAGCTGGTGAGAAAGAAAAAGAGGAAATTTTTATCCCTCAGAATACTCTACGACTATCATTCGATATCATAAATTCCCCTTGACAGTTCTGTATCTACCTTTATTGCAGTGTGCTCCAGTGAACCCTGAAGGACATTTGCAGCGAAACCCTTTATCAGTGTATCCAGCTTGACACGTTCCATTGTTTGAACATGGATTGCTGCTGCAGGGATTCTGTTTAAAGACAAAATGGATTATCCCTTATTTTGTTATCATCCTTGGACTTTCGAGATTCTTAAAGAGTCAAATCATACCAATACCAAGCATATGCCTTCCAATCATCGTACCCGATAGAAAACCGTTATAATCCTTTTCTCCTAATCCCTTGCGCAAGTAATTTCAGATGGGAATTACTGGATAATTTGTTGTTAATGCTGATGTTTGGAGCGTTAGTCTTTCGTAAAAGCATTGCAAATGTGTGAATTTTTCTCACGATGTACTTACGCTACAACCGTCAGCTCTAGAGGGAAATTTATCTTGTATTACCAGGCCTCCTCCTCCACCGACACAGCACCACAGTTTATTGAGAAACTTACTCACTTTAAAAGAAGGAAACAGCTGACTAAGAAATCGCCCATCTTACCTCAATAGCGAGATAAATGTGACCATTTTTACTTTGTGGAACAGGCGGGCTTTGGTCTCCCTCCAAAGAATGATCCTGATTCAATTCGCAGGTGAAGTTTCCTCCCACCTTGGGTCCAAAGTTCATGGACACACAGCTAGGTTCCATATAACACATTTCATTACAGCTCCCCTGATGTGAAACCTCTTCAGTTCTGATGACATTGCCCTCTATGACTTTGTTGCGTATTGGTGTTTGGAAAATAATGGTGCGACATTCGTCATCTGTTTAAGCATTGAATATCTGGTTTATATTCACAGTTGAATATATGTCACTTGTCAAGGGGAAGGTCGTCCTAGATAGAACTATATCCCAAGCCTCGAGCACCAGAGGGCACAACTTTTCTCTTTAAGAATCGATCTTGGTAGATAACGTTTTTATTTTGTCTAATTGTAGGTGTTTTTTTTTTTGTTCGTTGCGTGGAGATGTTTTGTAGAGACGTAAATGTAGTGATATTTCGTCAGACTATTGTCTTCTATAAACAGTTAAAATCGTTCTATTAATATGAATATGATCTGACGCAGATCTAGTAATATTTTGTCATCTGACAATAATTTAGAAAATGTAAGATAAGCAAATTAATTCTAAGACAAAAGAAAACTTTCTACCCACTTATCAGCAAGCATCTTCGCCATTTGCCAAATATAGCGAAATCAAGAATTTTTCCCCTTCAAATTCTCTATGTTTACGTCAAAAATTGATTTTACTTTAAGTCCCTCGTACTTCTTATTCTAATCCATTATCTTCTAGTTTTTCAAAGAAGTAAGTAACCATTTGGTGGCATTTGAAACACATTTTTGATGCTTTAGAATCAATTTACCTGAACAAAACCCTCCAGCTCTCGTGACTCCTTCTTTGCAGGTGCAGCCATAAGAGTGATCAGTCTTTATGCACCTCGCATTCACACCACATACTTTGCTGTCATTAGTGCACTTGTTAATATCTTCAAAGGAAAGTTGTCAGGTCAGGAAAAATTTATCGCCAGGGAGGAGGTGGGGGGTAAGTGGGGGTGTGGGATCATTTTTGGGGGAACTACATGTTTTTCAGGGAAGCGGAGTGAGGATAAGTCAATTAACTGCCAATCAATTGCTAATGGGCAGGGGGGGGGAATCTTAAGACTATAGCAGAGCCTTCAGGGGTGATCAGGTAAATTCTATCGTGACTAACTCAAATTTCTCAAAACCCACCTCCCAATATATGGTATTGTAAGGGGGTCCTGCTTCTCTTTCTTTTTTAACAAAAAAGGACCGAAAAATGTCCATTTTAGGATTAATTTTCTACGCATAAGAGGAGGCTTGACTATAGTGAGACCCACATGCAGACCCACAAAACAGCCCAAAGAGGCAATACTACACTGTTGGTGCAAGGTGCATTCATCCTAAATTCAATTTTTATGAGCAACATTGACAAAAAATGTAATACCTGTTTTTAATTTACCAACGACTATGGTAGGCGAAGCAGCAGTACTTGATACCGTTGGTGGTAACACTGGACAAAAAAAAAAGTCAATGAGAGAAAATAAAGTAAAAGAAACAAAGGAAGGAATAGATTGACAAATAAAAAGACAGAAGAAACAAAAGTGGGATTGAGAGTTCATTATTTTTCAGTGTGTGCAAGAGAACTTTGATGGTATTACCAGTTGGCTTCGTGGAGATAGTTTTTGGCAGGGTTTCAAGCGAACTGGAAGACTCTAAAAGGAATAAGCAGCAAAGGGTGAATTGAAAATATCTCCTTCAAATTGTCTGGCTTCAAACTGGAAGGGTTAAATATAACCGGTTGCTCAAATAGAAATTTGGACTTGGAGTTTCTAGATGAAAGGAAAATAATACATTGGTGATACATAATTCGACTGATTGAGTAAACAAAGTGTCAAACAAGCCGGCAGCTTAGTTGGGTCTTTATTTCTCGTCAACTATCAAGCAATAGAAATCTGGAGTTCGTAATCTGCTGGTTGTTAATTGCTGCATGCTGTCAATTCATTCTTTAACAAAAGGAGCGACAAAAATGTTATGATACAAGTGACATGATAAATGTGGTTATTTTTACAACAGGCAGCTTGTAAATGTTTTATGGAGGTCATTGCGACTTCTTCGGGGGAAATGAAAATTGATCGATTTTTTTTTATGCGGAAAAGGGAGGCTACATGCAATTCAAAATATTTGCTTAAATATTTATTGACAGAGAATCTGTATTACCGTTCATTTTCGTGGAGGTATCTGCCTTATGTGGAGTTGTACTGGGCAACTCTAGAAAAAAAAAAAAGAAAAAAAGAAAAAGAAAGAAAGAAGCCGCTTGATTTCGTAACAAATTATTTCATTTATTTATCGTGATGAATACGCCCTTGCTATGAAATTCAATACTATAGTTGCATCTTGATGTTGCCAGTTCCATTATGAAACATAACCATTTTCATATTTATTCCCAATCCTTTTCAGGCGACAACGTCGCCCGTATTTGCATTATCTATTGAACGCCACTAAATTGAAACATCCCGAGGAGAAATAAGTTTCACATTCAGTAAAATAACAAAGATATAGAAAACAGTTAGTTCTATTACCAATAGGGTTTGTAGAGGTTTTTGGCTCATTTGGAGTTGAATTGGGCAACTCTGGAAAAAAAGAATGAGGAATAACTGGTGAACCTGTTGGAGGAAACTTCTTTATCATTATTATTATGATTATTATTTTCATGAAAATGTTTTTAACCGAGCATGTCACCGAAAAAAAAATGAAATGTAAGGCAAAGGTAGATAAAAATGGCAATTCAAGAAAAAATATTCCTAGACTGCTTTTCCGTAACACTCGATACAAAAACGCTCTTTATATTCTCTATCGATATTGTTGTTATTCAACGTGTTTTTATGTAGGATGCAATGTTATCAAGCACAAGCTTCCTCTATTTCGTTTTAACATTTCCGCCATCTTTTGCCAAAAAAAAATCGTTAAGTGCTCTGCTTCGGCAGCTTTACCGTCCACCTTTTACTGGATTAAGAATAGCTGAGTCATGTTACCTTTACCTACACACCGGTAGCCTTTATCCGTGAAGCCATTTTGACAAGACTGATGAAGAAGGCAGGGATTCTTCACACAAGCGTTCTAAAAATTTAAAATACAACCATGCAGCAACCAACCAGTTTCTGGGAGGAATAGGCTCGAATCCCGTCTAAGCCTGATTTTTTTTCCCCCACAGGTTTCTACTCTGCAATCGCTTAGATCTTAGCTAACCTGCGATGACCACTGCTTTGTTCGAATTCGAAGTACTTGTTTGTCATGGGTTCGCTCCATTTGTTATAACAAATTACTGAGGTCTTACGCTGAGCTTCGCAAATTTCCTAACATGGCCTGTAAAGTGCTCTAAAGTCCGGCAAGCTACATACGATACGATGCATACGAATGGATAGAAAGAAGTTTATGCTAAAGTGAAAAATATGACTAAAAAAACATATATATATATATATATATATATATATATTACATGAATAATGATAGCAAACGCGCTATTTATTGATTCCATTATATCATATCGAACGCGTTCAATAAATTTTCTATGCAAAATAAGGCTGGAAGAATTATTTCCCATCTTGCTTGTGAAACTAACCTCAGTCGAGTGATAGGTGAAGCCATCTTTTGGCTTGAGCGCCTCAGAGTGCATCTCATGATCAGAATCACTCAGTTCACACAAATAAGCTCCATTGTTTCCCGAGGGACCAATATTGAGAGAAACACAGTTGTGTTCCTGAAAGCACCTCGCTTTACAGTCACTTTCTCTTTGTACCTCGAAGCTCTTGATAACGAAACCTTGCAAAGAAAAATCTTTCAAATCCGGCTTAAATTCCAGAATACGACAATCACCTGCAAAGATTCGCGAATTTTGATATTTTTCACACTCCCTTATTTTCATGAAAAATAAAAAAAAAAACAAAACAAAACAGAACAAATCAAAGCAAAAGAAAGCAAAACAAACCAAACTAGTAATATATCTATATAAACAAAACATAGATTAAAAAAAATTAAAAAATACACAAACAATAGCCAAAAATTAAGTTATTTGTAGTGGCTCTTTCAAGCTGTGGAAGTATATAAAATCGGGGCACATGTTCATTACATTTTTATCTCACGCTAATCAATACTTTTGAAGATTGACCGTCGCAATTTCAAACTTAACATCTTTTGCAAACTAAGATGATGTTCAGCTATTGTCGGTTAAATTTTTTCTTTTCAAACACACACACACACACACACACAAAAAAAACCCAAATGCATTCTCTACATGATTTTAACTGAAGAAGCAATGTGTATACTCTCAATATCAAGAAAATAATGAAAACGTAAAAGCAAGAAAAAAAAAGTAGAAGTGGTAGTAGCTTGATATGTGACTGCAACTGTTAAAACTAAGGGCAGTTAAGTTATGAGTTTCTTTTCCTGAAACGAGTAAAAGTTCTTGTTTGTGGAAAGGACACGTGCGTCATCATAGATTATCTTCTGTTGACGATCTCTGCTTCCACAGCGATGATATTCAGTCTTAAAATATCTGTTCAAAGATAATCCCTAACTGATATCAAACATTTCCCATGATTAAAGCCGGGTTCTCTGCGAAAACAACTCCTAAAACTCCGATTACCTAACGTGTATAAATACGAATTTAAGCTGTATTTCGACTCAACACAAAAGTTGGTTAAATATTTGAAGCGCATCATACCGTCTTGAGCTACAGTCTTTATGCAAAAGTATAGCTGTAGAATAAAAATGAGGCGACACATCTTGAGAAAGAAAGCATGTCGACCAGTCTTGAGAACAATTCTACCTGCTTAATTCAAAGACTTTGTTTTAAAACACTTTTTCTTTGTATCAAATTGCATTTTCATTTACCAATGAAAAAACGCTGCTATAGTGACAAACTACCATACACAATAGATTAATAAGATGGTGGTGTCCTCTTAATATGCAATATGTGTTACAACATTTAATTTTTGATTTAGTTCATTGAAATATGAATATAAAAATTGTATTGCCTTGGCACTGGCTATAAATAAGAAATGGTCTCTCCCGTGAAATCCCTGTTGGAGCTCTTCGCTCTTTTGTGCGATATATCAGGAGGTTTTCCCCAAATCGAATTTGATCTAATTTGCTTTTAGCGCATGAGTTTTACCACGTGGTTTGCAAACATGACGAAAAAGATGACAACTACTAAAAGATTAAATATTGCAATGGTTTCACTTTGATCATGAATAAAAATTAAATGAAAATAGCAGGTTACAATAAAGTCGCGCTTAGTAAATCTGTCCTTATAGGAATTCGTACCATTTCGCTCTCATAGCAGATATCTCTATTACAAGTACTTGTCAGTCTTAATCTGTGATGGCGAAAAAAAACAATTCTTCACAAAAGACGCGGTGTATAACAGCTCAAACTTAAATAAACAAAGCCGAAAGGCATAAACGTGTCTACAATGGAGTTCTTATGTTTTATTTACATTTGTCTCGTACAGGTTATACTTTACTGCCATGCTGCAAACTGTGTTGGCAGGCAGTATGGTCTATTTTATGATGAGGATGTACTGGAGAAAGGACAAATCCATCCAGAAACGATAATTTTGAAACGTTGCAGAGTCTAATTATTCTGAGGTTTCCAAAACAGCCAGTTTTCTAAAGGCAGTGGCGTGCGTCTTTTTCTTAATGCGTTTTATATTGTTACGGTGCAATTTAATCGACAGAAAGAACACAACAATCCTACAAACTCAACTACTTTATTAGGAAAAAGAGTTATATTCTCAATAAGGAGGGACTCTTAGAGGCAGCACAATAACTCCTCCTCTTTAAAATCTTTTTTTAAGGATTCTCATATTTTAAGCATTTCGGTATTTTTCTGTCAGATTTACCAGGACTCGAAGCTGAATGGTTCTTTTCACCCGGTGCTGAGGCTTGCCTCAAATTTCAACTTGACATATGACGCAAGTTATGATTGGTTTGTGTGTTGCCCGATACGCGAATTTGTTGTCTATGGGTACATACTGTCGTTCAGAGTATTTCTTACCAAAATCTAAAATAATCGTGGTAAATATACAAAATTTTCTTCATTTTTCGTGTTATTAGAGAGAAATATTTATAAAAAAAATTTAGTGAAAGTAGTTTCGATTATTCTTTATTCAACATCTAGCATGTGCTATCTGCTTTCCTAGACTGCATGGAATAAGTGGAAAAATGCCAAAACCCACGCATTGATAGAGTGGTCAACGTTAGGTTCTGCCATGATCGTTTTAATTGTACTCAACTGGGTACTTACCGCTGCCCAGTGCGTTTATGAATTCTTAGATCCAAGTTTGAGAAGGAAAAAGTGGTAACTGGTGACGTGCTTTTTTTTATATCGTTTGAAATATTGGGAATGTTTTCTTACCTATGCAGTTTGCTACGCATCATTTCTGCATCATTTCTGCATCATTTCTGCTTTTGTTCTTGTCTGTTTTTCGTCACTGTTTTCAAGCTACCGTCTAATAAGGCAGTCGTCATTGCATCTCGCTTTATTGTTTTGCAAGGCGGAAAATCTTCCTGATAACGCGTATAATGTAAAAAAACAAAACAAAACAAAACAAACCCGTTGTTTGATATCGTTTCATTGACGAAAAGTCCACGGAGACGTCCACCACAGGGCGATATATTGAAATGTTATATAATGAGTTGAATGGTTTTGATTGGTTCCTATATATGTTATAATAGAGGACAGACGCATAGATGACGTCACCGCTAACAACATTTTTCCTTTTTTGTAACAATAAACAGATAGATTCTATGTTGCAGTGGGTCTGTACCATACATTTTCGAACACTTGTTAGCCACTGGTTAGTTTCTTTTATTTTCAAGAATCATTTATCCACAACAATTCAGTTGATCGACTCGTTCGTTTATTGTTTCATTCATAAGTTGATCTTTAATTATTCCCCAATTGGCTTTTCTTCGACTCGTTCTGTTAAGTACCTGCGTTCCGAGTATCCCTAGAAATGAACAAAAGGAGTTCTGTGAGCTTAGATAAAGACAATTGTGCTTAATAGACTTATATTTATAGGTTCACTTTCCCCAAATCAGTTCCAAATTCTTTAAATCATATTTGTTCTTTCAAATCCATATTTATACCTTCAAATCCATATTTATACACATCTGCAGGACCACCTCAATGTATTGTTATCTGTATAGTATCTGCTACATATTTTGCGTTTGCCTTTGAAACAACCGAGACGTCCTGAAAAGATTTTCGAAAGAAAGAAAACGAATGAATCAAAACAAATTAAACGAAGCAAAAAAGAACATAAGCAAAAACAAACAAACAAAAGCAAAAAAAAAAAAAAAAAAAAAAAAAGCAAACAAAAGTGGAAATAAAAAGGAAAACAGAGCAGATGCATGCAATTTAATCTGCCTTTACACTTTACTTACGAGCTCGATATCTATATCTATATCGCCCCGGGTCTTCCAATTCTAGAGGAAAAAGTGATAAAACATCTGTTTGTAAAAATAATATTTCATGTTTCGGGACGAGGAGTGGAAAGATGGAGAGGCGGTGATGGAGTATTTGTGTTTGCCTGAGACTAAAAACGGATTGTGAAACTTAAATTAACCATCCGTTCAGTTATATCCACTAAAGCTTGAGTATGTTTTAAACCCAATGAAAACTTTTCTCTTCAAAGAAGCTTCTTAAAGCGACGTTTGTTGAGTTCACAGTTAGCCAATCTAAAGAAAAAAGTTAGTGACTACTTGAAGCTATGGAAAACACACTTTATCAGTACTATTTCTGATGATGTGAATGCAGTATTACTTTACACAGAATTTATTTTAAAAGGGGTCCGTCGTGGAATTTAGTGCACCCTTATATATTTTTTTTTTCTGGGAGGGGGGGAGGTCTAACTTGTTTGTTATTCGTGACAGATCAGAGAAATCTCAACAAAGTAAAATTGCAAACTTTTCTTAGTAATAAAAATTATGTTGATTCTTACCAGTTTTTATGAAGTTATCTCTGAGTTCCTCTTCCGGATCTTCCAATGGGGAAAAAATTGATGATTATGAACAATTAAACAGAATTAAAAAAGGCAGAAAACTCACAAAATCATGTTTTAGATAAAGTTTCAATTTCATAAAAATTAAGCGGGTCATTCATTAACTTTTACTTGAAGTCCATGTGCACGTTTATTCGTTGTATGTCCAATCGTAAAATGCCACATCATTGACAACACAATATTTAACACTATAATCACGTTACTCAGTAATATTACAACAACAATACATATCATCAGCAACAATAGATTTCTAGCAACTATACGGTCGAATTCCATTTTGTAAGGGGTCGATATTTATTGGAGGATTTTGTTTGTGTCAATATAACCCATTTACCTAATCCCCTTATAAGGCTCTGTAATATTATTCTGATCTCCTTTCATTGGCGGTTCATCGGCAGTCAATTTCCTTTGGCACTCCCTTTATATTGTGTTGGCGAAGATTGACCTCGTCCGTTCTCCCTGAAAAGCATGTGATCCCCTACAAAATAAGACGGTCCCCCGCGTTCCCCCTGGCGTAAATCGTGACTGTTTCCCTTAAATGATCTCCTCCACTCTCAATCACTTGCAAGTTATAAATGAATATAAATGCTTTCCATTTTTATAATTAAGCTTATGCTCTCTGGCTGAAACGGAGAATGTGATGAAACGAGAAGTATCTTAAAACCCAGCCGGAGCATCAGCAACCATTTTTTCTTTCATCTTACTTCTTATCTTCCCAAAAATAGCCATGAACAGGTCATTCAAAAGATGGTTTATGCGTCGAAAAACATACGATATTGGTGACTTGAAAAAAATGTTTGCCATCATTATTATCGTTACTATTATTGTTGTAGTCTTTGTTATCTTCTGATTCCTGCACAGATGCGGAAAATTAATCCCAATGCATGTTTTGCCATTGGGATTAGCTACTTTTTTCAATGCAGCGAAGCGTTATGAAAAAGCCCTGGGAAAGAAACTCAGTAGTGCAAATTAAAATGGTAAAACAACCACCGGAAACTTTTAGGAGAGATCGTTGTGGGCGTTGCACTCGCTGACGACATGTAACAAGTCGAAGTTAGATTTACTAGAAAAGGTCAAGTATTATGACAAAACAATTTGTTTCATGCTGTGAAATAGAAACTAACCTCTTAATTTCCCATCCTCCCTCTCAAAGTAGGTCTTCGCAAAGACGATGGAGAACAAAACAAGAAGAAAGCCAAGTTTCAGATACATTCTGCTGTCTCGGTCTACGTTTGTTCGTGCACGCCAATGGACAGAAGCCCTACAAAAACTTCTTTATATAACACCGAGCGGCTCTTAAAACTGAATAATGCAAATAAATTAAACCTGATATGGTGATGCTCTTGACCTTGTGTCCGTATTTGAACAACTGTAAGAGCCATGTTTTAGTTATCTTATCGATATATCTGGCCACGTTCCACAAAGAGGTAAGAAGAGCATAACTTCAAATATATAAAGTTATTCGTAAAATTTCCTAATGAAGCTGTTTCATCTGCTTTGGGGTTCAAAGAAGTGAATTGTATTACTTAAAAGAAATTAGGTCCGAGGTAATTTCTTAACTGATTGAACAACTGATGGGGTCATTTAGTTATTCATTTGGCCAATATCTCTTAATATCCACATCGAGTGACGAATACTTTTTCTTATTCAGAAGTTCCAGAAGCAACAATCAAAATTTTCCAACGATGAAGTTAAAATACTTTAATGAAAATTTAAAAGACGACGAACTAAAATAAGATGAAAGAAAAGAAAAAAGTTCCATGTGAATATCTAAACAAAAAGCATCATAATTAATGCTCGCTTAGAGGGACTGGGAAATTTGTGTTTTTGCAGAACAGCACTTTTCTTCACCATCTCTTGGCCGATATAACTGATATAGGCTGCATAATCGAACGAGTATTGCAGCCAAATTTCGTTTTTGTAGCGACTGTTTGCCCTTGAATTTAACAACATGGACCGAATGCTATCTCGCAATAGCAATATAGTGATTTAAGTCCTGGAGTAACATTACAGCCATTGTGCGAGGTGTTACCAAATCAAACAGTTACTTTTATATGAGATAATCAAAGATGAGATCTATTACAGGAAAACTGGAAGCAGGGAAAATTGAAATATTTGGGTTGCTTTGCATTCATTTTAGTTCATCCATTTACTTATTTCTGAATTATTTCTGAATCTACAACATTCCACATTAAATTTGTGGACAATGTGCATAATTTATACCAAAATACGCGTCAGTTATATTCTAACTAATCCTTATGAAGGCTTAATGGTTGACATAGACAGATTTAAAAATATCGATTCATCTTTGCCTCCACACCCATTCATGCATACGGCTAAGCTTCTAAACCTTATATTGCTCTTAATGTGCTCAGCAAATGAATTGGATCATGTTGTGATCAGGTTAGGTCTACCGAAAGAATGAAACGTGCAAAATCAATTCATGAAAGAAGAGGACACCCAACATGCAAGTTTTAGCATGCAAATAATGATGACTTTGGTGCTGATTTGGTTTCAATCTAATGCACGAGCATTTTTTGTCGATGTTAGATTATCATCTCTTCAAGTATTGGAACGTCATGCCTTAGTTAATACACTTTGTATGCTCAGTGGCTCGCGAAAAATAATTACGATATTCTGTTTTATAAACATGACCTAGCTACCATCTAAGGTTAGTGTTTCAAATCATATGTGAAGTGATACAATAGGAAGATATGTCATGGTAGACAAAGGGCAAAAAGATTTTTATTTATTTATGACTCGTAAATACGTTGAAAAATAAAGATATCGATGAATATCAATTTTGTTGTTGTTGTTGTTGTTGTTTCTTTTCAAAGGGTCACGTTTACTTTCCAGCTTCATGTAAATCCGAGAATGTTTCAAATTAAAAAAAAAAAATTAAAAAATGCCATCAAAAACTGCATGGCGACCAAAAAAAGAACAAAAAAGAACAAAAAAACAGAAACAGGAACAACAAAAAAATGTGATTGTCTTTTAGTAACATAATTGTTGATAATATCACTATGTGAACTGAACAGTAGGCAAGGGTGTCACGGAAAAAAAATTCCATAAAAGGATTCATTTCAAAATTTTGAAAAGAAGAGTGTTTTAAAATCCATTCTTTTCCAACTCCTTCATCCCAGCAGATCATTCACATGACAATGTGTTCCTTTTCCTCGCACATTCGTGATAGATTCAGCCCTTTCTTGCATATTCATCATAGAGTACTGGATATCTTTAACCTACACAAAGGCTAATATTGTAATTTTGAAAGATTGTATCGGAAATTTAATTCCGATGAAATCACGCACGCCCAAGTAGGGTGTATAATATTGTTTGCGGCAGATAAACAAGATATATAGGTAGATTTGGGATTAAAATTAGTTTCATGCCTTTGCAGTTTTCTTGTATTATTGCCCTTTGTGCAACAGTTTAAGGTTTTTTTTAAAGAAATAAATAAAGGAATAAATAACAAATCATGAGGGATTCAGTTACTGATGAAATTAAGTAAACATCTGATCTCCCCCCCCCCCAAAAAAAAAAAGATCCTTTGTACCTGTATTTACACGTTCGTGTTCTATAACGGTGTGCTGATTCTATAGCTCTTTTCAATTGGTGCTATGCATTACTTTTAAACCCACAGGATCATCGAAGCTCACGCAATGCCCTAGAATATTTATTCTTTAGATGAATGTACTCTTAAGGGTTGCGTAAAACGGAGCTACTGACAAACATTAACTTTCGTAATTTGGCTTCTCGGTGACTCTCCAGGGTACGGAAATTTTCATTAATGGATAAATATAGACCACCTAAGATTAACAAAGGAGCGCTGTAACTAATTTTAGTTATGCTGACTTGCTTTTACAGCTCGGTACATTATATGTATGCCGATGGCAATAGCGTTGTTTCTGTGTTGTTGTTTTTATTGAGTGCCTTAATATTTGAGTCTAAGATGTAACCCACTACTTCGTTTTGCACTTTTAGAGTGCTTTATACTATGTAAATAGATTGAAATAAAATTTTCACGGCTCTTAAGGAATTAAAGCGAATCACCAAGGAACCAATAGACCATTGTTACCGCGACATATTCAAAAGTTACGGAAGAAAAATGAGCTGAAACGTTATTTCCCGTTCGTTATCTCACCAGATCTCATTTTCTTCCACTACTGCTGTTGATGAACGTGAACCTGTGCTTTTGTACTTGCCTACCTTTAGGTTCTATGGATAAGTGCGGTGCGAAAATATCTGAACCAAGTGGACGTTCGAGAAAAATTCAAGAGACACTGTAATCCATGCACTTAGAATAATTCATATCAATCAGAGAAGACCTTGTGATTTAAAAGGAAAGTTGAACTAGTTGAACTGGAAAAAAATAGCGACCGAAACACAACTATAAGTATAGGAAATCGTATGAACGCGAGTGCATTTCGTGATTTATGGGCACGAGTGATGTTTTGAAAGTTCTCAAAATTGCACGAGCCGTAGGCGAGTGCAATTTGAGAACTTTCAAAACATCACTCGTGCCCATAAATCACGAAATGCACGAGCAGGTTCATAAGATTTTTTATTTATTATATTCTCGACAAAATTACTCCATCGGTGTTTCCATGGAAACTTCTCCGTATTGCACTCTATAACCTCTATTGCACTCTATAACCTATTTATGCATTCATCATTGACCAATCAGAAACGCGATATTTTGTTGAGTATATAATAACAAGAGATATCGGCCAATGTTTTGTTTCTCTTTATTTAATCAATAACATAATCAATTGACCAATCCTTTATCTTTTTTATTCTTTCATTATTTTATTAATTACTTTATTATTATGCTCCCAATTGCCTTTTAGTTGCCTTGCTCAGTTATGGCTGCAGTTGCTGTTATTGCATAGAAAAAAAAAAAATCAAAAATTAATCATTGAGTTCATATAACACAACTGTACACATTATAAATCGTAAGTTCCAGCTTCGATCTGCCAATAAGGTTTCCAATTTTCTCAATCATCCTCGTGTTCTTACATAATCTTCCCTCGCATTTATCCGCACTAAGATGGCAAGAGAAACTAAAAGCATCAAGCAATTTCCCTCACTTATACTGACATTTTGAGCTCGATAACAATTCCATTAAGTAAATAAAAAGGTATATATTAACATTGGTGACAGTAAGTGCTACATAATATATATGGATAAAGATTGATTACAAAGCGTCCCATTACGTGGAAGGTATTCGCTGTTAAAAGCTTTAATGAAACGGATTTTCTGATGCTGGTATGAAATATTTCTTCGAACTGAATCACTGGGCCCATGAAACCTTACGTTTATCTTAATTTGTAAGGTAAATTTTAGTAAATTGATATATGAATTCGCACCTTTCAACTGAGTCATTTGGTCTACTTGTAATTCATTTATATTCATTTATAAATAAATGAATAAATAAATAAATGAACAAATATATATATATATATATATATATATATATATGTATCTATGTATGTATGTATATAAATGAATGTGAGGGTAGAGTCTACCTTGGCATAAAGTGCTCAATGCTGTGGTAGCAGAGCTAAGTATACATAAGAATTAAAGAGGACGCATCGATTCTCTGTGACTCTGAGATTCGCGCCTAAGCGCTCGTCAGACAGATATATATATATATATATATATATATATATTACTCTGTAACAATTGCATGTTAAGGCCCCTGAGGAAGGCAAATGCCGAAACGCGTCGGGTCTTGAATAAAGCGTTGAAAACGGAAGCACATTCTCCATTGTGCAAATTATATATATATATATATATATATATATATATATATATATATATATATATATATATATATATAAAAAAAAAAAAAACTAAACAAAACGAAAACACGAGAAGAAGAAGAAAAATGTTCAATTTTAAAAAAAATAGGGCTACTGCTGCTGAAACCTACAATTATAGGAGCCTCGTCTATCTTGTGCAGTGTTGTTTTCTTGGTTAACGTTTCATCAGGCTCGTCCCTTTCTCCTTCTACCGAAATAAAGGAATACATTCGGTATGAATTGTTACACAAACACTAAATTGAACTAAGGAAATAAATTCAACCAAGGGAGCAAGCGCATAAGTGTCCGTGTGCTAATGGGTGGTTGAATAGATTTTTCCAACTATCTGGTTTAGTCGGTTATTTCTTTCAAACAATTTGTAACTCTTGTCTACATACCACTTGCACGCGCCGGGTCTGCCAATTCTAGAGAGGGGAAAGACAAAAAAAATTTAGTCTTACAAT